CACGTATATGGAGATGAGTCACAAACGTGCCCTTGCTGCCAAGAAAGCTAACACTGGGCTGCTTTAGTAGAAGCGTTGCCAGCAAATCGAGGCAAGTGATTCTTCCCCTCTATTCGGCACCGGTCACATCTGGAGTCCTGCGTCCAGCTGTGGGCCCCCCACAACAGAAAGGATGTGGACACGTTGGAGAGAGTCCAGTGGAGGGCAATGAAAATGGTTTGGACACTGGGGGACAGGACTTATGATGAGTAAAGACCGAGGGAACTGGGCTGATTTAGTCTGGAGAAGAGAAGACCGAGGGGGATTGAGTAGCAGCCTTCACCTCCCTGCAGGGGTCTGCAAAGAGGATGGAGCTGGGCTGGTCTCAGTGGGGGCAGACGACAGGACAAGGAGCAATGGGCTCCAGCTGCAGCAAGGGAAGTTGAGGTTGGATATTAGGAAGAATTTCCTCACCATGAGGGTAGTAAAACACTGAATCTGGTTACCCAGAGAGGTGGTGCAATCTCCAACCTTGGAGGTTTTGAAGCCCTGGCTAGACAAAGTCTTGTCTGGGATGATGTAGTTGGGGCTGGTCCTGCTTGGAGCAGGGGGGTGGACTAGATGCGACTCCTTCCCACCCTCATTTTCTGCGATTCAAAAATCGCAACCAAAACCACTATTTCCATAATTACCTGTGTAGTTTAATCTAAAAGATCCCGTTTTTGGGTGGGAAGTGCTACCGCATTATGCTAGAACATGATACCTAGAAAATGAGTTGAAATGGGTGTGTTTGCAGTGGGCGGTGAAAGCCCAGCTGAGATAAGAAGACCCTGTTCCCTATGTACAAACTTGGAAAGAGACAGTCCTCACTCTGCAAAGCTCATGTACTAAGCAGGAAAGAAGGGCAAAGGGTGGGTGGAAGGAAGGATGATGTTAAACGTGGGTCAGATCGGCGCTGGCAATGGCTGTTTTGTACATGGCTTTGAATTTGCTGTTGTGATTGTCTTCGCCCGGCCCACGGTCAGTCCAATTCAGCCTCTCTGGGTCCACAGCTTATAATACAAAAGAGTCATTTTTCTTGCAGCGATTCCCGTTTCTATTTTCTTCTCTTCCCTGGGGCCCTCAGGAAGAGTGCTGATTAGGTCGGGTCCAGCTCTCTTCCCTCACGTGCTCCGGGGCATGGTGAGAGAAGGTCATTTTTCTCCGTGTGAGCATGTTAATAATCTGGAGACATGCATCAGTGCTAATTGATTTCCTGTCTCTTTTACATGTTCAAATGATCTGTTGTATCATTGCAATAAATGTCAATAAAAAGCTGGTGAAAGAGGGGGGAGGAAAAGGGGATTTGCTGCCGTTCTGTGCTATGAAGCTGCCATTTCACTCGTAGGAAATGGCTGCATTTTGCTGCTCGGGTCTGGTGTTGGTGTGGCGCTGACCATTTGCACAGTGGAGCCTATTTGTGCCGTGAGTTGTGGGAGTCTCCTGCCTGTCGTTGCATGCTGAGAATATTTAAGACCAGAGCAAATGGGTTAAACGTGATGCTCTGTGGGTGTCGGGTGCCCCTGGGCCGAGGGCAGCGTCACTAGGTATAGGCTCGTGCTCGCACAGTTGATGCTGAGGTTATAGTCACGCTGCACTGGGCAGACTTAGCTCCAGAGGAAAAAGTGGACTGAGTTTGAGAGAGGAGCATGCAGGGCACGTCAGATGAGGGGCAGGTGCTGAACGACGGACGATGCCGTGCAAACCCTACCTGGGAGCGAAGCAAGGTGAGTAGGGGCCTGCACGTTCAGTTCAGAGAACAGCTAGCCCTGCCTGTGAAACGTGGGCTGGATGAGACCCGCAGCATGCGCTTGGGTTAAAGCATGCCTTTGATGTCCAGAGACTCCATGTAGTGGGGAAGCCGGCACCAGGTCTCGGGTAGGTGGTTTGGGTTGTCAATTAACCTTCCTCTCCATCATTTTGCTCGGATGCTGCATGTCTTTGGGTAGGGTAGCTAATAAGCTCTCCTCAGTGGTTTCAGGAGCTAGCAGACCATTGCAGAGCAGAGGGAGAGAGGCGCTGCTGCAAACTGGAAGGCAAGGCAGACCGTTTACAGTATCCCAGCAGGAAATGGGTTTACTATTATCCAGATCAGTTAACGACCCTCCATCTCATTTGCACTCAGCTCATGCCAGAGGCTCCCTATATGTCTGGTGCTGGTTAGTAAGATCAGAGGGGGATCCTGTACCAGCATGGGCGAGAGCACTGTGTGGGCTCACAGGACTATGTGATGTCTTCCTACAGCCAAGGTGCAGGCTGTTGACTGCAAGATCTGATGGGCTGCAGGCATCAGTGGGCATCTCTGCATGCCCCCCAGATTATGGATGGCTGTGGAGGGCACATGCAGGAAACCCTGGCTGCACTGCAAGCTGCGGACGATAGCACAAGACTTGGGCAGTGCCAGGGAAGGGGTATAAAAAACCCTAGACCTTGGTGGCTGTTTAGGGGGAAAAAGTTACAACAAGTTGCACAGGTCAAGTTTTCTAACCAGGGGTGCAAGAAGGAATTTAAGCTGCCATACGGGAGGGGTAGTGTGCACAGACATTTCCTCGGGTGCCCAAAAAGCCACAATCCCATGACTGGTCATGCTGGGACAAAATCAGCCTGACTTCAAGGTGAAGTGAAAGCAGCAATACAAGAACCTTGTCCATTATATGATATGTAGAAACAAGGGGAAGTTGATAGCGATGATGTGATCTACACTGGAGAAATGACAGAAAGTGGATCAAAGAAGCAAAAGTGCACAGAGAGGAGGCGGTGGCTAGCAGAGCTCAGGAGAAGAAGGAGGGCTTTTTTTCATATGACAAGAACGAAAGGACCCCAAACAACGGCTTGGTGACTAGGTGGGAATGGTAGACTAGTCTCCCCCGCGGACATCTCGCATGTGGCTAAGGGCAGCAGACCAACACAAACTAGGCAAGGAAATGGTTAAATTAACTTAGTTTAATTTAAGATAACGGGTGATAGCACTTACAGGTGGGCAGGCATCGTGTCTAGCCCCAAAGGCTGCTGTGTGGATCTGCTGGAGGGTCCAGCATTGGCACTGGCCGAGTTGCAGCGCGGTGGACCTACGAGTGAGTATCGATGCTTTAAAGCGCATCAAATCTTGTTGGTGTCTGTCTTCAATATCCTGCTTTGAATCCTGGGGTCTAGTTGGTGGCACTCCTTTATTTTGCTGGGCTGACTTGACTGCTTTTGTAGGTTTTTGTCAGTTCAAACCCCTGTTCTCCTGAAATTTGCTTTGTCTTATCAGCTTGACCCAGCCCACACGTCGGCTGTCGCTGATCCCACACGTTGGCTGCCCTCGTCTCTAACGTGTCTGAAGCGGGGTTGTAAGTGAATCCTCGCCAGCAAGCAATCGCATCCAGACCTTCTTTGTCGGCCTTAAAATTCACCAATATCTTCTTTAGAGGTCTGAAGCCCCCAAGATATCGGGCCGCTGTCATTACTAAGGATCAAATATTATAACAAATGCCCACGGCAAAATGCTTTGACCAGGAAGTCCTGCTTTCTATGTTGCAGGGGCAATTACTCAATGATCAGATTAGCCTTTTTGGCCGCCTTTGTACTGCCTTTCCCCTCCTGCACGGAGGGCTTCCTGCCGAGCCTCTTGCCCTGGCACCAGGTAAATAGCATTGCTGCTGATAAATAACCCAGGGTTTTAGCACCCTGTTATTCCAAGGGCTGGATCATCTCCTCGATAGCTTGACATTCAAGGATCACAAAGCTTCACCATAACAACAAACAGGCCAATCTAATTAGATTTTGACAGGCCACCCCACAAAACAATTAGATGGGACTAGGTGCATTTTATCATGTAGCTGCATCTCAGAGACAGGAAGGTATGAATGCTTTTAAGTGAATCCAGTCTCCCGGGCCAGTTTCCAGCTGGTGGAGACTGGTCAGACTCTGACTGGAGTGGATCTACTTTGATTTATGCCGGTTGAGGGTCCGGGCCTTAATTTGTTTCTTTAGCTGCTTTCAGCCCCTGAAAAATGAAATGGAAAATCCATTTAGCTGCAGCAATTGTACCAAATGCACCTGACGTTTGGAGCTGGAAGACTGCAGCACATGATTTTCCTTAAATATCCAAGTGAATTTCTGATTGAATTAGCCTTGATTTGGGGCGTGCTGCCTTTGAGTTTTGCTTCCCTGGTTGCTAATGCAAACACTGCTCCTGATCCTCCAGTATCCTGCACCTACTGTAGCCTTGCACCTCGTGTGCCTATATTGCAGCGTGGAAAGGAAGATCCACTGCCTGATGCGGTCCACATACCTACCATGTGGACACCGAGGTGCGTCTCCTATGTTGGGTCTCCCTCTGACACTAGCTGGTTTCTTTTTGCACAAATAACATTAAAAATCCTGTTCCTCACTGTAAAAGACAATCAGGACTCATAGTAGAGATGGTATCTTTTATTAGACCAGCAAGATTTTTGCAAAAAAAATTTTTTTTCTTTATTCACTTTCAGATCAAGAATTTTTAAACGACATTCATTAGAACCAGAGGTACCTTCTTTATATCATCTTTATTAATATTTGGTTGCCTCTACAAACCCTCATAGATATCTGCTTTTATTTTTTTTTCTTGAGTCACACACTCCCTAGTTCATGGACAAAATGCATGGTAAGAAAATCATAAGCAGACCCAAATAAGGCTTGTTCCTACAAACTATCCCCTTGGATCTTTGCTGGATTAGCTGCTCTGGTTTAGAATGATTTATTTTAGCATTCTTTGCAAACAGCATATGTCTACAATTACAATGGCTTTGCTGATTAAAAAGGCAGAATGCATTATTGTAAAGGGCCCAAAAAAGTTTCCATTAAGATAAATAGACCCTTTAGTATAATAAATAGTACTGAGCATCTCTATAGCATTTATTCCTCTTCAAAGGGCTCTAGAAATGATAATTAACCTTGAAATAACTGCCCTATAAGCAACCCCCCAAACTTAAAGAAGGTCGAGACTGTCAGTTCTTCGGCGCCCTTCCTCATGGGGCCAGAGGGTACTCAGAAAAGGATTACAACAAAATGTATTAGGCAGAAAACTTGCATTTGCCCATGTCTTTTGTGCTTGCAAATGGGCCAAATATAAGATAAAAACTTTCAGAAGGAAATTTCCCCCTGATTTCGAGGAAGCATAGCAGGGTTCAGTCACAAAGGTCAAGCTTGGAGAAAAGGATGAGCATCTGAAAACGAGTCGTCGTAACCGAAACGCTTAGTCAGCCTGCACCGTAGGGGGCGATATGCCTAGCCGCGCTTTAAGCAAAATTCACACAATGCTGTGGGAGGCTTGTAAGAAGTGCCTTTAGTTTCTTCCAGAAAAGGTACCCAATTATACTTAGTAAATGTCAGGTTAGGAGACGTTTTGTACAACAAGTTCTTTTCCTCTCGGAAATAAAGGTTAGTTTAAGCTTATCAAGAAAATTAATTGCCATTTGAACTGTAACATGGAAAAAAAGCTTTCACTCGATACTGGAGACAGCTGTGCTGCTGTAACTCTCCTTCTGGATGCAAGAATAACATCTTTGTCAGGGTAATAATTATCCCCGAGTCTGGCTGTGTCTTCCTTCCACTCAGAGACAATCTAAAGCTGGGTGACAACGTCTGGAAATCAGAAAATGCACAAGATTTCCCCCCCCCCCCCTTATAAGAATGAATGTTCCTGGTCTTGGCTTCAAATATTCTCTCTCCCTTTAGGAACAGGAGGCTGCACTGATATGTTCATATTTTGGTCAGGCATGTTTTTCCCATGACGCTCATCCTGCAGGAGCTCCCAGGACCTCCGTTTGCTCCTGTGAGCAGGGTGGCATTAGCCATACCATGCTTCTTGGACAGCTTGCGCTTTGAAATCCTGGGTGGGCATGTCTACATGTGCTCGTTTAATGCACATTAGCCCAATTTAAGGCACATTGAGGGCGTGCTACACATGCACACCCTTAATGCACCTTAAAAATGCTGGTTTAAGCAAATATCATGGCATAAAGGAAGCATCAGATATAGGTGTGATTAGTTAAAGCACGTTAGCGCACATGTAGATGTGCTAATGTGCATTGACACGGCATGCGTCAATGGATGTGTTAATGTGCGTTAGCGCATCTGCATGTGCGCTAATGCAACTTAGCTATTTGCACCTGAAGTGTAATGGGACTTCATGCACATTAGTGTGCCACATGTAGATGTGCACCTACATTGCCTTAAATACACATGTAGACATGCCCAGTGAGCATCTGAGATCCAAATCCTTCCCTAAGGCAACTCACTATTGCTTTTGGGATGCCACATTTCCAGGGTACAAAGCAGGAGAATTTGGCTTGTGAGACGCTTTTGAAAACTCCCAATGTCAGAGTGACACTGAGAGGAGATGCCCCCCAAAGATGGGCTCCTTGCAGCCCTGTCGACCCACAGACTCACTGACTCTATTGAACCAGGCCTAATGTCTATGCAGAGACACTTGTATTTGCTTAAACCCGTGATTGTGAGTGCAAAACGCTGCTCATCTGAGACCAAGGGGAGTCACCCACTGGTGACTGTTCTCTCTTCTGAGCGAGCTGAGAAGTATTTTTCCCCCCAGCTGGTAACCTAATTTTTTAAAACAGTTTGTACTGATCAACCATTCCCACGTATCAACCATGTATTTGCTCGGCATCAGGGATATCCCACCAGCATCCCACCTATATGTGCGTGTGTGTGTGTGTGTGTGTGTGTGTATACATATATACACACACACACATATATACTCACATATATATATACACACACACACACATATGTATTTGTATGTTTGTGTGTATATGTGTATGTAAGTATGAGTATATATATGTGTATATACATACACACACACACACCAAGGGCCAGTGCACACAACCTCACCATCTTTACTGATTCCCCGCTGAAACCTAGAATCATTTCTTGGCCTACGGCTGCTTTATCAACAGTCATTTCAGATTTGTCTGCTTTTCTCGTTACTGAAGGGCTAAGTTCTGCCCGTTGCTGATCTCTGCATCTTATTCTGCGTGACCATTGAGATTGGACTCCCTTGTTTTTTACCAGCTGCCACTATCATTCTTTGCTTTTTTGGGGGGTCTGATCTGAATTGCGTACGACCCCTGCATTTCCCTGGTCTTTCCAAGCCCCCGCCAAGTTGCATTACCCTCCATGCTGACAGATCCTCTGCAATTGTTTTGTTCCATAAACAAATTGCATCGCTGGACCGTGCCTTCATTCTTCCAGGTTATTGATTATACAAATTAATTAAACTGATTCCAATATTGATCGCTGTGGCAGGCTACGCTTTGCAACCCAAACTGCTTTCACTTAAAACTACCCTTTCTCATCAATATCCAAGCCAGTTCTTTATCTACTCCAGCAGTTCCATCCATACGCTAGCCAATATGCACTTAATGACCTTACAGAGAAGACCTTGCCAATCCTTTTTCTTGTCCAAAAACTTTTCTGTAGTTTTATAAGGCACGATTGCCTTATAACACTTTATATGGCGCTTTATAAAATGGATAATACTTTTCTGGCTAGCAGAAATGAGGAGCGATGCGGTCCATACAAATGATTCTAATAGGGAAGTAATCAGCCTTGGGAAAGAATAAAATAATTATAAGCCTGGACTGTAGCTGCCATTAAGAAGACTGCAGTTACCGAGCCTGAAACAGAGGGGCCCTCCCATATTTTCCCGTTCGTAGCAAAGGAAATCAACACGCCGGGCTCTTGAGACTCTGAATCCATTTCCTTTTCTTAGGTAAGGTAATAGCTGCAGTATCTCAGCTTGCACTGACTTCTTAATGGCTATCACTGTGCTCATGCTCCGTAGAGGTGTTCGGTTTGAACTCACATAAGTCCCGTGGGTCTGATATGTCTCTCTTCCCGCCCCCCCTTGCTGTCGCTTGAAGAAAGCCACTGTGTGGCTGTTTCCAGTTTATCACGATCATCTGCTTTGGGACTGACCCTGCAAGATCTATTAATTTCTCATCATTCCACTTCTAAAACGAAGACCCTTTTGTAACCCACGGCGTAACCTTCACGGGAGAGCGGAGTATCCTTGCCAATTATCTCAGCGATAGCTTTATAAACTCATTCCCTCCAAATATATTTTACAGCAAGAATAACTCGCATGAAAAAAGACTCACCTTCCTTTCAGCAATGTCACTAAAGTCACAGTCGATTCAGAAAAAAGTTGAAATATTAAGAGGAGTTGCACAGATGCGCACACGTTCGTGCCGGGCCGCCTGTCGCCTGTCCGAGTGCTCCGAGATCCCTGCCATCTCTCTAACAAAGCTGTCCACGTTTCTAAGTCATTGCGCCCTTTGACACATGCAATTTGTCCCTGTATCCCACAGGACCAAAAATAAATGGGAGACTTCTTCATTATCTTCCAAATGAGATGTAAAACCAAGGTCCTGACCTCCTGTGACTGTTAGAAATCCCATGGCACATTTTGCAAGAGCAGGGCTATTCGTCCTGATGTTCTGGCACAATTCCAATTTGGGTAATTATAATTACATTTTGCCTACTTTTTCATTTCAATGAGATGATGTATCCATCTTCACTTCCTGCCCTGGCGTGCTGTAAAATGGAGCGATGTGCTGCCCGTCAGCTGTGGGGGTCCGCTTGCGACGGGGACGTATCAATGGCTCTTTTATGATGGTTTTCGCATATGCTTGTTGGGATCTTTGGATTAGGGTGCTGGAGAGCAAAGCTCTCGCAGACAAGATCGTTGCGGGACTTCTGCTGCCATCTGGGGATGCTGACTCCCTAAGTGGTGACCACAGCTCAGGGGCACTTCTGTGGCACCAATGCTTCATGTTGGCCCTCTGTGTAGGCAAGGTTTGTCCTCATTCGAATTAACACCCCACCCTGGACAGCATGTTCTAGCTGCAGGAAATGATGAAGATCTTGTATCTAGCCATAGTCCATTGCTCCTGGACAGTGGCCAACCTTGCAAACCTCTTGATCTGCACCTCCTACGTCCCACGTTATGTCTCTTCTATTACATTGTGTGCATTGCACGAGGTGGCCTCTATTGCCCTGTAAGCTTAGTTCTTTAGGGATTTTCTAGCAATAGTTTAATTGATCAAATACTACATGCTGCCAGGATCCAGTGGTGAATCTACCTGACTCGCAGCCTGTTGTAGTTTCCTCTTGTACTTGCAGTTTGCTTGTGTATGTCCAGCTCCTATGAGTAGCGTTTCACCAGCAGTCTCTTGGGCATGTCTATAGGTGCATTAACGCACTTTAGTTCATGCGCATTAAATCTAGTACCTCCAGGCACTTGTACACATGCTTGCAACACCTGGAAATCCATATCAGCGCTGAGAAAATGGTGGTGGTGCGCTTTTGAACTAAAACACATCAGAGGTGTTTTAGTTCCAACACACACCGCTGCCACTTTCTGCACGCTGACATGCATTTTGCCACTTGTACAACTGCATGTGAAACAGCGCAGTGAATGTCAGCCTGCGTGCAGAGCACATTTGATTAACCAAGTCTGCTCCAACCCACCGGATCTCCGGCACATTGCAGGATGAAAAGGTAAAGAAAATGCTCATTAGCCTGTATTAATGTGCAATAACTAAAGAGCACAGTTTTTAAGTGGCACTCAGTGTGCATTGGTCTATTTTAATGTGCATTAACTAAATAGCATGATTTTTTAGGGACGCTGTAATGTGCATTAAAATAGTCTAATGCGCCTTAAAGTGCATGTGTAGATGCACCCTTCATAAGCAAGTGGAGTGTGGCTTCTTAGAGCAAGATGTTTTGTATTTCTGTGTACAAGTAGTGGTTGTTGGATGTCCAAATATCTCGAAGCTTGCTGTGATGTGCAGAAAGAGTCAGCTTGTCAGTTGTGCTTGCTCAACGCAGCTAGCTCAACATCACCGAAAAGCAAGGTAGCCCCTCTCGAGCCGCATCTGCTGACTGGGCTTTTACCTAAAGGGGAGCCTTAGGCAGGTCTGAAATGCAGCCCAAACATTTACAGGTATGGGCACCATGAAACACAAACTGTTTCATTGTGGTGCTAGCAAGCAAACATGAAAAGCCAACTCCAAATATGTGCAATGAATGCAAGCTCAGTGACCTCCTTTCCCTAAAACTGGAATAGTTTTTCCCATTGAAAAGTTCCATAAAAACAAAATAATTCCTTGTTTGAATGTTTCGGTTTTTTTTCCTGAAGGAAAAACTAAAAATGTAAAGTTTTGACTGGGAGAGGCGGCTGCTGCAGTGCCTCTGAGCCGGTGTTCGCGGCCTCCGGCACTGCCGTGAGATGGGTTTCCACCCCGGGCTGGACTCGGTCTCCCATAAGGCCCCCTCCTGCTGAGCGATGGTGACGTATCTGAGTCTCAGATGCCAAAACACTGTCCCTGCGAGGCACTGCAGCCAAATTGAAATGTTTGGGTTTCTGTCAAAAGCCCATTGGTTTTCCACCATTTGGGGGGGAGGTTTTTGGCAGGAAGTTCATGTTTTTGGTGGAAAGGTCAGATGCTTTCTGCTTAAAAATGTCACATGGGTTAAAGCCCGTTTTCCCTTGAAAGCTGGTTCTAGTGGAGAATTTGGACCCAGCCCTACCCAAAACCTGTATCTGCTGAGCAGAGAGGCGCCGCTGTCCCTGGGCCTCAGGGTCCTGCTGAGCGACAGACCCGCTCACCCATGGCCATATAGCGAGTGGAGATGGACCCTCTCTTTCATGCCCTGCATCACGCCACATACAGCTCACACCAGGCCGGTGAGTTTGATCAGATGCATTTGTTTTTGCAGATGTTAATTTGGCTGCTTGGTCGCTCAACAGGTATCTAATTTCCCCAGTTCCTTTGCATTTGTTTGAAGCCTGATTAGAGCGAATATGCAAATCTCTGCTCCTAGCTGGAAGTTCCTTCTGCAAACATGCTGGGTGCCAGTGTGTCTAGGAAGCAATAGTCCCTGCCCCATCCCCCTGGTAAACTCAGCTCCTGGAAAGTCTCTTGCTTGCTGAAGAAGAGAGTAAAAGGGAAGGGAAAGTTGGGGCTTGGAAGTGGGTGGAAAAATCTTGCTGATTCGGGGTTATGTGTGGATAGGCCAGATTGGCCCATCAGAGCATGTGCTGCAGAAGGCCATGCAAGCAATGGTGTTGCTGACATACCCAGGGGCAAATAGCAGCATGCAGGGGATGTTAGGCCATGAACTGGGCTGTGTGTCAGCTCCAGGATAGGGGATGGGGCATGCATATTCTCATGGGTTTGCAGTAATGTAGACTCAGCTGCCCCCCTGAGTTGTGTGTAGGAGACCCAACCCTAAACGGGGGTTGCAGCAGCAGTACGGAGGCTGCGCTTGTAGGCGGGGGAACAGATCCTCCCCTAGCTCTGGTGCCCAAAGCCGTTGGGCTCAAGGCAAAGAAGATAACTTGTCTTACACGGGGACGGGGGCTGTTGCTTCAGGGGCAGGGTAGGGCTGAGCGAGCAAGAGCGTGCCGAGGTTTCCCATCAGTCGTGCGTCTGATGGGAAAGTCAGGTCCTTGTGCAGCCTGGAAGCAGACTTCCCGGCTGGAAGCGCTCTGGGCATGCCATGCAGGGGCTGGCAGATGGCAACTGGCATCGGTATTGGAGGAGGTGTCTATGGGAGCTCCCCTTGGCACACGCCAGCCTGGGGCTCGGTGCCCTGCCCAGCTTTAAAACCCCGTATCTGTAACGCGAAAGACGGGGTACAGACAGAGGGAGGCTTCTCTCTTCCCGAGCAGGGCTGGGGTAGGGCTCTCTCTATTTGTAATTAAGCTTTGCATTAATATCAGATGAGATGACTGCTTGGAGCCTTCCTCCTTTTAAACGAGAGGGTGGTTTCTGTTGCGTGTCTGTGTTTAAAGAGGAATTGTACCTGCCGATCTTGATGAATGGCTCATTTGTGCTGCAGGTTTTCTTTGGAAATGAGGAGTGGAGCCCGCAGCCCCCGTGCTGATAAGGAGTGCGGTTATTTTGTGTTTTGTAGCCGTTTCTCTGGGAAGCCGACGCTTCATTTGCATTGCTTTTTTAACCTTATATGCTCAGTGGGCCTAGTCGAGGCTTCTTTCTTCTTGAATTAAATGTAATCAGGCTGAGCAGTGAGGAAGAAATGATGAATGGGAACATCACTTCGGAAAACACATATCTCAGGACTGCTTATCTCAATGACATAAGAAGACTTGAATACAGTATGGGAAATAAATGCAGATAGGGCCTCTACATATCACATTAGAGCATAATAGCTCTGGAGGGGCTGCACCCGGGCAAAATTATTTTTTCTTCAGGGCATGGCTGTGATAATCTTGAAAGGCTGATAATTAAGATTTAAATTTTCCTATCAGAAATGTGGCTGAGGAGCCCAGTGTTTGGGTGAGGCAATGCCTGCAGGTCATCTTTACTGGGCTGCTGAGGAAGGTTTGAATCCTGGACTTCCAGGGGCAGGAGGTCCTCCTGGACGGCCGGCACAACGGCACGAGCCACCCACCGAGCCCAGCCTGCTCCGTGTCCCCAGTTCTCTTTTCTTCCAGGAGAGCACAGGCCCCACTACAAGAGGTGGGAGGACCTGGGTTGGCAAAGGGGGGTGTTGTACAGGGGCATGCATGCAAAATGCAGTGCCCATAGCATGCCGGGTAGAAGCACAAGGACATTCAACCCAGGAGCCGTTGTCCTCCAGGAACGAGCTGTGTGAAGAGCCCAGCCTTGCAGGCGTGCAAACCCAGAGGAGACCAGCAAGGACTGCCTATGCCTCAGCTTGTATCTGGCTGGAAGGAAACGTGGGCACCCACAGCACAGCAAGTGCCTGAGCCCACGTTTCCCAAGTCCTAAGCCAGCACCTCAATCCAAGGACTACCCCCCCCCCCACGCTTTTGTCGGGGACCCAGAGTGGCACCATGTCTAAGCAGGTTGCCGTTCCCAACACACAAAGTAAATGCAGTAGATCCCCTGTGCCCCGAGCCCCTTTCAGTCGGTGGGAATAGGGTTGTCTTGTGCAGACGGGTCATATTGTTGGCTGAATACAACGTGCTCTTGGGACTGTTTGTGGGAAAGGCGACCAACAGTCATGGGCATAAAATCGTAGGAAATGAGGGTGTGAAAGGAGCTCAGGAGTCGCATCTAGTCCAACCTCCTGCTCCAAGCAGGACCAGCCCCAACTGCATCATCCCGGCCACGGCTTTGTCTACCCGGGTCTGCAAAACCTCCAAGGACGGAGAGTCCCCCACCTCTCTGGGGAGCTTGTGCTTTACTACCCTCCTAGTGAGAAAGTTTTTCCTACTATCTAACTTAACACAAGGCACTCAGATTTGCAGAGCGGTTTGCAGACGTTTGCCACTACTTGTGCAGCAA